CGCCCACCATTTTCACGGGCATTTTGTCACCAGGAAGCATACTGCCATCACGTAGAGCCTATCTCAAGAAAAACAAAAAACGACTATAATAAATCCTCTAGGAAAAAAAAAAAAAAAAAAAGCAGTACGGGATGCTGGGCCCAGTTCCCAGCACGTGCTGCTTCCCACGAATAGATTGGAGCCTTGTCCCAAAAAAAAAAAAAAAAAAAGAGTCCATAAAGCGGTCCCGCCCACATGGGTGGCTGCCTTACAGGATGGACCATCGATCCACAGCCTAGACTAGGTCATACTAGTCCAGAACCGAACGTTTCCACAAAGCCATCTAGACAGTGTCTCACCTAGGCCAACTCTAGACCACCTTGTGTGCCACTCCAGGCCAGTCTGGAACCGAATTTTTCCATGGAGCCACCCTATCAGTGTCTAACCTAAGTCAACTCTAGAGCATCCTGAGTACCTATCAGGGTTATATTCTGGTCGGATTACATTCCACGCTTGTCCAGAACCGAATGTTTCCACGGAGCTACCCTAGGCAGTGTCATTACCTAAGCCAACTCTAGACCAGCCTCTGTGCCTGTTGCATACCGTAACGGTACAGACCAGAACAAGAACCGACCTCTCTCACATAGTACAGGATAGCGAAGCGGAAGGCTAAAATACCAATGATCAGACCAATCAATGTCGCAATGCAGACCAAACATACATCATCATCATCACATGGTGTCAAGGGGCCTGGCGCTCACACAGGAAGAATGCGCCAGTCCCCAACCAGACACGGACGAAGAGGAGGGGGATCAGAACAAGAAGAGGGGGAAGATGGGAATGTCGTCAACACCAAGTCTTCGGTACAGGTCCCGAATAATCCCTCGTCCAATGTCTCTATCCCAATGTCGAGTCTGAATCCAAATGTCGTCAAATCTCAAAGTCACAAATCTCTCTCTCTCTCTCTCTCTCTCTCGCGCGCGCGCGTAGTAGTCTGTAGGCGATGAGAAGTCAGGTAGCAAGAGGGTGAGGGAGAGATGGTGGACTTAGAGGAGGTCCTCTCTCTCTCTTGTACCAAGTACTAACCTGTGAAGGTGATGCCTTGTTGCAGGTACATCGAAGATGAAGCTGGAGCTATGGCGCCACAGGTAAGTCTCCCTGGCCTCCGCCAATTCTCTCTCTCTCTTAACGCTACTCTAAGCTCCTACAGCGCCCAGCGCTGAAGACTACACCTAGCGCTAGCTATTACTACTGCAGCGTGTGATGCGCAACCTCACGCCCCGTCGCGGCTTTCCGTACAGGGCCGCCGATCAGAGTAGAAGGGGGCGTGGCCGAGGATTTTTGGCCATGGGGGTTGAGTCTCCCGGTAGGAATGGGAGTCTCTCGTTTCGGGGCCGAT